TTTCGGGTTTAGGGCTTCTCAGGCTTTGGGCTTCTGACGGCTGTGCTTGGCCTTGGTCTCAGGTTCAAGGGTCCAGGGCAGAGCGTGTAGATTCAAGGGTTTAGGGCAGAGGGGTGGCAGAATTTAGGGTCTGAGGCTTTCGGGCTTTTAGGCGCAAGGGTAGCAATGTCGAGATGTCTCTCTCTCTCTCTCTCTCTCTCTTTTGGGTTTAGGGTTTAGGGTTTAGGGCACTCATGGGGTTCTACCTTGGACCCCTGACCCTAAGGTTGGTGCCCTTGAGTATGGGGACCCTGTTTAAGGATCCTCTAAGGGAATCTGAGGGCAACACTAGGCACTCCAAACACCATTTAGGTTTTAGGGTTTAGGGTTTAGGGTTTAGGGACCCCCTTAGGAGTGTATTCAGAGAACCTCTTCGGAGTCCGCGTCTGACTCCGAAAGCCCCTCCCAGCGTGCCAAACCCTTGCTTAAACCCCTGTGCACGAAGTTCCTAGCACTCCAAACACCAGGGCTTAGGGTTTAGGGTTTAGGGTTCAGGGTTTAGGGTTTAGGGACCCCGAAACCCTAAGCAATGAAACCCCTAAGCCCTAAACCGCTCCTTATGAAACTGTAAAGCCCTGAAAAACCCTAATAAACCGCTCCTTATGAAACTGTAAAGCCCTGAAAAACCCTAAGCCTTCGAGCGCTATAAACCCTAAAATCTCCTAAGCCCCTACTGTAGGCGTCGGAATATTTACTAGTAGTTTTCCCTTATGGCCCCCCTTGGAAGTATACTAGAAGAACTTAAGGCCCCTATATATCAAGCCCCTAGACCTGACCCTAAACCTTAAACCCTAAACCCTAACCCCTAAACCCTCAACCCTAAACCCTAGGCCCTGAATTGCAAGGTGGGAATCGGCTCGGCTCGCGTTAGAGGGGCGCCCAGCGTTGTGGCAGCGCCTTATTGAGGCGAGTTGGGAGGTTTGGGGTTAGGGTTTAGGGTTGAGGGTTTAGGGTCTAGGGTTTAGGGCTTAGGCTTTGGGGTTTAGGGTTTAGGGTTTTGGGTTTTGGGTTTTGGGTTTTGGGTTTAGGGTTTAGGGGTGAGTTTAGGGTTTAGGGAGGGGTTTAGGGTGCACGGACTTCACGCTGGCGCGGGGGTGTATCTAGGGTAGATCAAACTGTACTTGAGGGTCCCGCGAGGTCCGAGAGGAGGTCTGTAGAGAGTCGGCGTACTCCGAATAGTTTTCCCAGAGGGTCCATTTGTAGTACTATTATGGAATTAGGTACCCAAAAACCATACTAAAAAAGGTTTTGGGGTACCTAATTCCATAATAGTACTACAAATGGACCCTCTGGGTTTCATGGTGTACGATTGGCTAGATGCCCATTGCGTTTCCTTCCTTGAGGCTCAGGCTGCGTTTAGTCTCGCGCAATGAGAAATTGAGGAATTATAGTCTGAGAAGAGATCTAACATTCAGAAAGCTGGGATGACATGTCAGGGTGTCAGCAAGGAATATAGATCCGCAAAACTTACTGCGCGCCCACGCCCTCAACTTGTCCCACCCACTAGCTGCGAGGGGTTTGGGGTCTAGGGTGTAGGGATTACGCGGTCTAGGGTCAGGGTCTGGCAAACCCTATATAAGCCCCAAGCCCTCAACCCTGATTTCCCAAGCCCTTATCCCGATTTTTGTGTGAAACTGATCAGGGACCCTTGGGGTTTCGGAGCGCATTTATGGTGCAGCTCTTCTTGGGCTCTCCTGGGTGGAATTGGCTTCCTAAGCCCTGAACCCTAAGCTACCCCTTAAACCCCTTAAGCCCTAAATCCCCTTCACCCTGAGCCCCTGTTAAGGGAACCAGACCCCCAAAAGTGCAAGTGCCGGGGGTCTGCTGTGGCGCTTCATGTGAAGGCATGTGGCTGCTTGCAAAGGCTGGGTTTCTGGCTCCTCTCCGGCTCAACCGCGTGACCCCTACTACAGGGGTCGGAAGAATTACTTATAGTATTCCCTTATGGTCCCTGTGTAATTCTACTCTAAGAACCCCCAAAACCCAATTCTTAGGGTTCAGGGTTTAGGGTTTAATTAGGGTTTAGGATTTAGGGGGGTTTAGGGGTTTAGGGTTTAGGGTTTAGGCCTCTGCGCCAGGAAGAAGGCATCTTCCTCCGACGGATAGACCGAGGCTTCTCGGCTGGGTTGAGGGGCGTAGGCTGCGTGGGAGAGCCCTGAAGCCCAAACCCCAATTAAGCCCAAATTAGTTCGACCTTCCCCCAGCCCCCCCCCCCCCCCCCCCAAAAAAAAAAAAAAACAAAAAAAACGAAACCAATAAACCAATAAAATGGACAAATAAAAATGTACCATTGTGTTGATCTTCGACTCTGAGCGGCTTAGGTTACTGGCTTGAGGCATCAAGCCGGAACGGCTTTGGGCGGGGTTTAGGGTTTGTAGGGATAAAGAAGGTCAGTTTCGTTTGAAACCCTAAACCCTAAACCCTAAACCCTAAACCCTAAACCCTAAACCCTAAACCCTAAACCCTAAACCCTAAACCCTAAACCCTAAACCCTAAACCCTAAACCCTAAACCCTAAACCCTAAACCCTAAACCCTAAACCCTAAACCCTAAACCCTAAACCCTAAACCCTAAACCCTAACCCTAAACCCTAAACCCTAAACCCTAAACCCTAAACCCTAAACCCTAAACCCTAAACCCTAAACCCTCTCCTAAACCCTAAACCCTAAACCCTAAACCCTAAACCCTAAACCCTAAACCCTAAACCCTAAACCCTAAACCCTAAACCCTAAACCCTAAAACCTAAACCCTAAACCCTAAACCCTAAACCCTAAACCCTAAACCCTAAACCCTAAACCCTAAACCCAAACTAAACCTAAACCTAACCTAAACCCTAAACCCTAAACCCTAACCCTAAACCCTAAACCCTAAACCCTAAACCCTAAACCCTAAACCCTAAACCCTAAACCCTAAACCCTAACCCCTAACCCCCTAAACCCTAAACCCTAAACCCTAAACCGTATGTGTTGCTCTGCAAGAGTAAGAGAGAACAGGGTCTACAAGAGGCTGCCAGAGGACCGTAGAGATCCTGGCTCTGTGCTGAGACATACAAGTATCCGAAGAGCCCTGCAGACTCTGGCAGAGCCGAAAACCCGACCGGTTTAGGGTTTAGGGTTTAGGGTTAGGGTTTAGGGTTTAGGGTTTAGGGTTTAGGGCTTAGGGTTTAGGATTTAGGGTTTAGAGTTTAGGGTTTACCCTAAACCCCTAAACCCCTAAACCCTAAACCCCGCCCGCATCCGGGGAAAGGCGTGGAAGCCCTGCAGGCTGCCAGGCGGGCGCAGACCGAGGTTTGTAAATGGTTCTTGGGGTTTAGGGTTTAGGGTTTGGGCTATGGGAGTCTACAGAGTGCTACCGGGTTTTGCCAGGGCTGTATACGAGCACGGCTTTGTTCTGGGATTTTACCGGGTGCATTTTTTTTTTTTTTTTTGTTGGGGGGGGGGTCTCCCTAAACCTTAAGCCCTAAAGCCTAAACCCTAAACCCTAAAGCCCAAAAACGCGGGTGAGGGCGGTTTGGCCCTGATGGACAAATGTCGCTTATATAGGGCATGTCAGGGCTTGAGCTTTGCAGGGGTGTGTAGGCTTCGGGCAACCTGGCATCAAGGGTTGGGGGGTTTGTTTGGGGTTTAGGGTTTAGGGTTTGGGGTTTGGGGGTTTAGGGTTTAGGGTGGCAGAATCTGTTTTTTGTTCTTATTGCTCTTTTCGGAATTTCGGGTAGAACCCACAGCCCTAAGCCCCAAAATCCTGCAATCTCAGAAGTCCCAGACTCCCTAAGGGGTTTTAGGGTTTAGCGTTTGTCGGCTTTTTAGGGCTTTGGGTTTAGGGTTTCGATATCCCCCAGAAATCCATCTCATCCACCCTAAACTCGTCAAAGTCCCCAAAACCCTAAACCTTAAACCCGAAACCCGAAACCCTAACCCTAAACCCTAAACTCCTCAAAGTCATCCTTCCCAGGGAGCTCTACGTCACCTACGCCGACTTTGGCGCCTCCGCCGCCTCGTCGGCGGGCTGGTCGGGACGCCATGAGGGCTAGGGCTTAGGGGTTAGGGTTTAGGGTTTAGGTTTAGGGTTTAAGGTTTGGGGTTCAGGGTTTAGGGTTTAGGGCGGGTTCTTGGGTTCTGGAGACTTCGAAAGTACCCCAAAAAACTCTACAAGCTAAACGGGTTCTCCTGGGGCCTTTGAAAATACCCGTTAAATACTCAAAAAACCCTACAATCCTTAAACGCGCCCACGGTTCACTGTAGCTGATTTTCTAAGCTAAGCCCCGACGGCTTGTGTATCTCAGCCCTTGTTACAAGGAGATACACGTGGGCCATCAGGTCTATAGGCGAGAAGAACTTGTTGTGATCAGGGGTTAGGGTTAATTAAGTTTGTAGGGTCTAGGGTTTAGGGTTGTCAGAGCGTGTTTGGATATCAATACAGCAGCTGGGCAATTACTTTTTTTGTACAGGAATCCGGGTAGAGTTGAGATTCGAGCTCAGGGTTGTTTGGCTCTCTTTCTGCCAAGCTTTGTCTCCAGACTGTGGTGGAAGGCAGACATCTTACAAAAGAGTCTCCTGTTTCCAGAAGTTTGTTTATAGCTCAGGGTTCTGTTTACAGTTTGCTTTTCTCATTCCCTGCCTCATTCCCTCCTTACTGTGGATCTAATAACCCCCACAGTTTGGGGTATCCTAAACCCTGAGCTCTAATCCCTAAACCCTAAACCCTAAACCCTAAACCCTAAACCCTAAACCCTAAACCCTAAACCCTAAACCCTAAACCCTAAACCCTAAACCCTAAACCCTAAACCCTAAACCCTAAACCCTAAACCCTAAACCCTAAACCCTAAACCCTAAACCCTAAACCCTAAACCCTAAACCCTAAACCCTAAACCCTAAACCCTAAACCCTAAACCCTAAACCCTAAACCCTAAACCCTAAACCCTAAACCCTAAACCCTAAACTAAACCCCAGGCCATCTCAAACCATGAAGCTGCTTGCAGAAGCGGCTGCGGAGATGACCTCCCGACTCAGGCTCAGGGGTAAAATAGCCCTGGATTAGTTTTGTTTAGGGTTTAGGGTTTAGGGTTTAGGGTTTAGGGTTTAGGGTTTAGGGTTTCGGGTTCACCCCAACGGCCCAAATAGCCCGGATAGTAGGGTTTAGGGTTTAGGGTTTAGGGTTTAGGGTTTAGGGTCTAGGGTTTAGGGTTTAGGGTTTAGGGTTTAGGGTTTAGGGTTTAGGGTTTAGGGCATTATCTGTGGGAGGTTACATGGTCCCTTGACATGGCCCCTTACGTTCCATAAAGGTTTCTGAAGTATGGGCCCTTGGGTTTATAGGGTAACAAATATAAGGGGGGGTACATAAGGGGTCTATAAGGGTTCCCCAATTAAGGTCCCACATGTAGGGGCCATGGAATTCCCCTAAGATTTTAGGGTTTAGGGTTTAGGGCTTAGGGTGGCGAGGTCAAGGTCCTGCGCCACCCAACGCTGTACCTGGAACCTTCCTCCACAGACACGTGCGTTCTTTTCCGTTGGTTCCGCTGGAAGCATTTCCATCAGCAGGGTGATGGGTACCTTGCTGCGAAGCCCTAAACCCTAAACCCTAAACCCTAAACCCTAAACCCTAAACCCTAAACCCTAAACCCTAAACCCTAAACCCTAAACCCTAAACCCTAAACCCTAAACCCTAAACCCTAAACCCTAAACCCTAAACCCTTAACCCTGAACCCTTAACCCTTAACCCTTAACCCTAACCCTAAACCCTGAACCCTGAACCCTAAACCCTAAACCCTAAACCCTAAACCCTAAACCCTAAACCCTTAACCCTAACCCTGAACCCTGAACCCTGAACCCTAAACCCTAAACCCTAAACCCTAAACCCTACCACAACAAAGCTGCATTCCTCTGCAGACCGGTCCGAGATGCAGCTGCCTGGCGCGCCCGGAGCTTGGTGCTTCAGGTGCTTCAGGGCTTCAGGGTTAGGGTTTAGGGTGTCTAGGGTTTAGGGTGTTTAGGGTGTTTAGGGCGTTTAGGGTGTTTAGGGTGTTTAGGGTGTTTAGGGTGTCTAGGGTGTCTAGGGTGTCTAGGGTGTCTAGGGTGTCTAGGGTGTCTAGGGTGTCTAGGAGTGTCTAAGGGTGTCTAAGGGTGTCTAGGGTGTCTAGGGTGTTGAGTTTAGGGTTTAGGGTTGAGGGTTTAAGGTGTAGGGTTTAGGGCTTCAGGCCTCAGGGTTTGTAGGGTTTGTAGGGTTGTAGGGCTTGTAGGGCTTGTAGGGCTTGTAAGGTTTGTAGGGTTTGTAAGGTTTGTAAGGTTTGTAGGGTTTGTAGGGTTTGTAGGGTTTGTAGGGTTTGCAGGGTTTGTAGGGTTTGTAGAGTTTAGGGTTTAGGGTTCTGATTTAGGGTTTTGAGGGGGGTGTGTTTAGGGTTTGCGGCTTTTAGTGGCTAGGGGTCGGGTTTTTAGTGTTTAGGGTTTTCGGGTTTCAGGTTTAGGGTTCTCAGGGTTTAGGTTTCACGGTTCAGGGTTTTCAGGGTTTCGGGTTCAGGGTCTCAAGGTTTTTGTGGTCGCAGGGTTTAGGGTTTTGGGGTTTCGGCTTTTTTCTCGCAGTCTTAAGGTTTAGTGCTTCGGGGTTTCGGGGTCTTTGGGTTTTCGGGTTTAGGGTTTGGGGTTGTGGCTTTTGGTTTAGGGCTTTACAGCGTTTTTTCTCGATATTGAGGGGCCTAGCATTGCCAGGGCGTTGGGGCGGAGTTTCGGGTTCGGGGCTTTCCCGCCTATGTGACAGGCCGTGCAGAGGGGCTTCGAGGCCGAACTTCCGGGGCTGTGGACCTCGTTTAGACTTTTGAAGGGACCGGGCTTTCGGATTTTGAGGGTTTTGTTCCCTAAACCCTAAGCCCTAAACCGAAACCCTAACCCCTAAACCCTAAACCCTAAACCCTAAACCCTAAACCCTAAGCCCTAAGCCCTAAGCCCTAAACCCTAAAGGGCCGACTCCTCGTCTTGTCTCTTCAAGTACGGCCTAGGTCGTGGACGCTGCGAAAGCCATTGAGAAGGAGCCCGGCGCCCATCTTTGCTCACTCTTTAGGGTTTGGGGTTTGGGTTTTAGGGTTTGGGGTTTTGGGTTTAGGGTTGAGGGCTATCCGAGCCGGCAGCCCGGAACCTTTTGTCACCCATTCCTTCAAGCCATACGAGTATACGGGGTTTGGTAGCTTGGACCAACGGCTTTGGCAGGATACGGGGTTTTGGAGTGCTATACGTTAGTACTTTTTTGGGTTCTGGGTTCCTGTTGTAGCTGCCTATACCTATATAAGTATATACTTTATTCAGGGTCTACTCCAAAGTAGGGTATAGGGTATACGATCTAATGAAGGTTTACGGTTCGAAGCCCCAAGTCCTGAGCCCTAGCTCTTAGGACTTTCGCCTTTTGGGTCTTGTAGAGACTACGTACAATAAGAGCCAAGAGTAGGCAGCCGTTTCGACGGTGACAGATCGTGGGGACCCGCTGTGGCCTAAACCCGTTTTAGCAACTCTGGAGTCGATTCAGACTCCGGAAGCGGGAGGGCCATTCAGTTTAGGGTTTAGGGTTTAGGGTTTAGGGTTTAGGGTTTAGGGTTTAGGGTTTAGGGTTTAGGGTTTAGGGTTTAGGGTTTAGGGTTCAGGGTTTAGGGTTTAGGGTTTAGGGCTTGGAGGCCCTTTCATCCCCCCCTATAATCGTGTCGAGGTTGAGCCAGGGGCAGAGTTCCAAAGAGGCTTGGAGCATCAGTGGCTTGCCTCAAAGATTATGCAAGGGGGAGGCTGGTACAGGGTTCAGGGTTTAGGGTTTAGGGTTTCGGGTTTAGGGTTTAGGGTTTAGGGTTTAGGGTTTAGGGTTTAGGGTTTAGGGTTTAGGGATTGGGGTGTAGGGTTTAGGGTTTAGGGTTTAGGGTATGGGATTTAAGGCTCGGACCTGGGTGCTTCCGAAGGCTTCAGAAGTAGTTAGGATGCAGGGTTGACATGTAGCAGGTAGGATTTGAGGGCCCGCTTCAGGGATTTCAAAGTTGGTGGAGGAAGTCATCGGTCCAGAGCGTTGAAGTTTGAGGTGCTGTTGATGTTGGTGGCCCAGCATGATGAGACACCTTTCACGACGGTCATATGAGCACTGTCAGTGATTCAGCTTTACTCAGCTCACGCTGATGTGGGCCTGTCGCAGGCTTGGAGATTGTTGTTATTCTGAGGTAGATACTGCTAGGACACAGAGGCTGCGCATTCTGCACCCAGAGTCACCGTGGGGTCCCGAATATGGCCTCCTGGTGCTACGGGCTGCAGAGACTGCATTGCAACCAGCTTCGCTGTGGCCATGCTCTTTTCCCAGCGGGCTTCTTGTGAGCTCTGCTGGTATCACCGCATGAGACAGCCAAGATCTTATTGCAGTCCATAGGGTTGAAGTGCTTGAGCTTTGATGTTTTGCTAGCGGCGTTGGTGGCCCAGCATGATGAGACACCTTTCACGACGGTCATATGAGCACTGTCAGTGATTCAGCTTTACTCAGCTCACGCTGATGTGGGCCTGTCGCAGGCTTGGAGATTGTTGTTATTCTGAGGTAGATACTGCTAGGACACAGAGGCTGCGCATTCTGCACCCAGAGTCACCGTGGGGTCCCGAATATGGCCTCCTGGTGCTACGGGCTGCAGAGACTGCATTGCAACCAGCTTCGCTGTGGCCATGCTCTTTTCCCAGCGGGCTTCTTGTGAGCTCTGCTGGTATCACCGCATGAGACAGCCAAGTCAAGATCTTATTGCAGTCCATAGGGTTGAAGTGCTTGAACTTTGATGTTTTGCTAGCGGCGTTGGTGGCCCAGCATGATGAGACACCTTTCACGACGGTCATATGAGCACAGTGATTCAGCTTTACTCAGCTCACGCTGATGTGGGCCTGTCGCAGGCTTGGAGATTGTTGTTATTCTGAGGTAGATACTGCTAGGACACAGAGGCTGCGCATTCTGCACCCAGAGTCACCGTGGGGTCCCGAATATGGCCTCCTGGTGCTACGGGCTGCAGAGACTGCATTGCAACCAGCTTCGCTGTGGCCATGCTCTTTTCCCAGCGGGCTTCTTGTGAGCTCTGCTGGTATCACCGCATGAGACAGCCAAGATCTTATTGCAGTCCATAGGGTTGAAGTGCTTGAGCTTTGATGTTTTGCTAGCGGCGTTGGTGGCCCAGCATGATGAGACACCTTTCACGACGGTCATATGAGCACTGTCAGTGATTCAGCTTTACTCAGCTCACGCTGATGTGGGCCTGTCGCAGGCTTGGAGATTGTTGTTATTCTGAGGTAGATACTGCTAGGACACGGAGGCTGCGCATTCTGCACCCAGAGTCACCGTGGGGTCCCGAATATGGCCTCCTGGTGCTACGGGCTGCAGAGACTGCATTGCCAACAGCTTCGCTGTGGCCATGCTCTTTTCCCAGCGGGCTTCTTGTGAGCTCTGCTGGTATCACCGCATGAGACAGCCAAGATCTTATTGCAGTCCGCTGGGTTGAAGTGCCTGAACTTTGATGTTTGGCTAGCGGCGCTGGTGGCCCAGCATGATGAGACACCTTTCACGACGGTCATATGAGCACTGTCAGTGATTCAGCTTTACTCAGCTCACGCTGATGTGGGCCTGTCGCAGGCTTGGAGATTGTTGTTATTCTGAGGTAGATACTGCTAGGACACAAAGGCTCCGCGGGGTCCCGAATATGGCCTCCTGGTGCTACGGGCTGCAGAGACTGCATTGCCAACAGCTTCGCTGTGGCCATGCCCTTTTCCCAGCGCGCTTCTTGTGAGCTCTGCTGGTATCACCGCATGAGACAGCCAAGATCTTATTGCAGTCCATAGGGTTGAAGTGCTTGAACTTTGATGTTTTGCTAGCGGCGCTGGTGGCCCAGCATGATGAGACACCTTTCACGACGGTCATATGAGCACTGTCAGTGATTCAGCTTTACTCAGCTCACGCTGATGTGGGCCTGTCGCAGGCTTGGAGATTGTTGTTATTCTGAGGTAGATACTGCTAGGTTCTGCGCCCAGAGTCACCGTGGGGTCCCGAATATGGCCTCCTGGTGCTACGGGCTGCAGAGACTGCATTGCCAACAGCTTCGCTGTGGCCATGCTGTTTTCCCAGCGGGCTTCTTGTGAGCTCTGCTGGTATCACCGCATGAGACAGCCAAGATCTTATTGCAGTCCATAGGGTTGAAGTGCTTGAACTTTGATGTTTTGCTAGCGGCGCTGGTGGCCCAGCATGATGAGACACCTTTCACGACGGTCATATGAGCACTGTCAGTGATTCAGCTTTACTCAGCTCACGCTGATGTGGGCCTGTCGCAGGCTTGAGATTGTTGTTTGTTCTGAGGTAGATACTGCTAGGACACAAAGGCTGCGCATTCTGCACCCAGAGTCACCGTGGGGTCCCGAATATGGCCTCCTGGTGCTACGGGCTGCAGAGACTGCATTGCCAACAGCTTCGCTGTGGCCATGCCCTTTTCCCAGCGCGCTTCTTGTGAGCTCTGCTGGTATCACCGCATGAGACAGCCAAGATCTTCTTATTGCAGTCCATAGGTTTGAAGTGCTTGAACTTTGATGTTTTGCTAGCGGCGTTGGTGGCCCAGCATGATGAGACCTTTCACGACGGTCATATGAGCACTGTCAGTGATTCAGCTTTACTCAGCTCACGCTGATGTGGGCCTGTCGCAGGCTTGGAGATTGTTGTTATTCTGAGGTAGATACTGCTAGGACACAAAGGCTGCGCATTCTGCACCCAGAGTCACCGTGGGGTCCCGAATATGGCCTCCTGGTGCTACGGGCTGCAGAGACTGCATTGCCAACAGCTTCGCTGTGGCCATGCCCTTTTCCCAGCGGGCTTCTTGTGAGCTCTGCTGGTATCACCGCATGAGACAGCCAAGATCTTATTGCAGTCCGCTGAGTTGAAGTGCTTGAACTTTGATGTTTTGCTAGCGGCGCTGGTGGCCCAGCATGATGAGACACCTTTCACGACGGTCATCGTGCAATGTTTCAGAGATACCTTCTCAGCTCATGCTGCTGTAGGCCTTCATTAGCAGCCTTCCTTTCTGTCCCCCCCCCCCCAGGCCCTTTCTGGCCCTGAACCCCAAGGGCTTCCCTAAACCCTAAACCCTAAACTCTAAACCCTAAACCCTAAAGCCTAAACCCTCAACCACAGGTGAGCACGACGGGCTGCAACTCATTCTCAAGGTGGGGGACTTTGGGTCCTGACACCTCAAACCGTGGAACTTAAAAGCTGACACCCTGAACGCTATTGCGGGCACGTCAGTTTATAGAGTTTAGGGTTTAGGGTTTAGGGTTTAGGGTTTAGGGCAGAATGGCTGAAGGGTTTAGGTTAAGCCCAGAGTGAAGATGAAGGCAGGAAATGCTTCTGCCCGAAGTTACAACTACTACTGTAGTTAGCCCCCTCATCTTCTGGATGCCTCCTACCCCTAAATCCTGAAGTCTGGCGTCTACCAATACTCCCTCTATGTGTTTCTGCTCTTAGAGCTAGAGTTTCCCTCACCCCTAAACCCCTAAACCCCTAAACCCCTAAACCCCCAAACCCCCAAACCCCCAAACCCTCCTAAACCCTAAACCCCTAAACCCCTGAACCCCTAAACCCCTAAACCCCTAAACCCCCATAAACCCCCAAAAACCCTAAACCCCTAAACCCCTAAACCCCTAAACCCCCAAACCCCCAAACCCCCAAACCCCCCTAAACCCTAAACCCCTAAACCCCCAAACCCCCAAACCCCCAAACCCCTAAACCCCTAAAGCCCTAAACCCCTAAGCCCTAAACCCCTAAACCCTAAACTCCTTAACCCCAAAGCTTCAAGCCCCCAGTCCCAAGTCCGAAGCCGCAAAAACTCACGCAGGCGCTTTCCCCGACGTCAGCTCATCAAGGAGCCCTCTTAATTTAGGGTTTAGGGTTTCGGGTTTTTGGGGTTTAGGGTTTAGGGTTTGGGGTTTAGGGTTTAGGGTTTAGGGTTCAGGGTTTAGGGTTTAGGGTTTGGGGCCGTTTAGGGTTTCGGGTTTAGGGTTAGGGTTTAGTTAGATTAGGGTCGGCTTCGGAATCGGGAGGTTTGGGGGGCTGGGTAGGGGTAGGATTGATTTTGGTTAGGGTTTTTGGGCTTTGGGGTTCACATAGGCATGAAGGTTCGGGCTTTAGGGCTTTAGGGTTTGTTGTGTTTACAGGTGTTAAGCTTATAGGATGTAGGCTTCTCATTGTGTAGACTTTCGCGTCGCTCATTGGCTTCAAAAGCAAGGGCAGCCCCTCCTTTGTGCCGATCGAGGCGGGGGTCAAATCCAAACCGTGCTGCAAGGCACCACGTGCTCAGCCATGTGGTTCCTCTCCATCCTTTGCTGGGTGGCGGTGTGGGGTTTTGGCGGGGATCTCCAAGGACTCAGCTGAGGAGGTCTATGCCTACGCCACTTGCAAGTTGTTCCTTGAAGTCCTGGAGCAGGGCAGGCAGCAGCGGTGCCATCATGGTCGCCACCTGCGCAAATGGGCAAAGCAATTGAAAGGTTCCATGTGCGATTTGGCGCAGGTCCGGCTCTGGGACCCCAAACCCTAAACCCTGAACCTAAACCCTAAATCCTGAACCCTTAACCCTAAACCCTAACAGTTGTGGATGAGGACCTGTAGGAGTTGACAGAAGGTGTTAGGGCTTGGAGTTTGGCATTTTGAAAGTCTGCACAAGTTTGCAGCCGCTCGTTAGTTTAGGGTTCAGTTTAGGGTTCAGGGTTCAGGGTTCAGGGTTCAGGGTTTAGGATTTAGGGTTTAGGGTTTAAGGTTTAGGGTTTAGGGTTTAGGGTTTAGGGTTTAGGACATAGTATCTCGCAGGTAGTTTTCACGCAAACCCCGTGTGCTGTAGACCGCGATAAAAAAGGCCCTCTCAGCATGCTCTTCAGCGGTGTCAGAATCTCGAACCCGACGACTCTGAACAGTCCCAAAACCGAAACCCTTACAAACCCTAAACCCTAAACCCTAAACCCTTATAAACCCTGCAGAACCTGCTATCCCGATCCGTGCCGTGGACCCTCAAAGCCCGGCTGAGTGTTTAGGGAGCCTTCGAATCGACTGTACCTTTGAGCTTAGCCTAAACCCTAAACCCTAAACCCCAAACCCAACCCTAAACCCTAAGTTGCAGGTGTAGAGTCTCGGGTTTCGAGTTCAGGGCTTAATAAGGCAGGAGGGTTTAGCGGTCTATGGTTGAGAGTTTAGGGTTTACGGTTGTGGGGTTTAGAGTTTAGGTTCGCACGGCTAGACCCCTATGCGATGGCCTTAGTTCAGAACAGCTCTCAATTCAGCTGCTACAAAAACCCGAAACCCTAAAAACTAAACACCCAAAGAAAGCCCCATAACGTAAACTCTAACCCCTAAACCCTAAACCTAAATAAACTAAACCCTAAACCCTAGCCCTAAACCCTAAACCCTCAACCCCAAAATACGCCCTGTATGCCCACTGCCGATTTGCAGGAGGTGATCCAGCTGCGGCTGGCACCTCAGGGAGGGTTTAGGGTTTAGGGTTGAGGGTTTAGGGTTTAGGGTTTAGGGTTTGCAGTGTTAGGCGGGAAATACTGTATGACCCGTATACATTCTTAAATATTCAGAAAGAACCCCCACAGATGGGGAGCCAGAAAACCTTTCCCAGGGAGGGTGTTAGGATTTTTCTCTGGGTTGGGCTGCCTCGGAGGTTTGTGGTTGGGAGATTTGGGGGTTCAGGGGTTCAGTGTAAAAACGGCCCTGGGCTGTTGGGCTACACAGGTTGCTAGGGGTTTAGGGCTTATAAGGCACACCCCTGGCTTGAAACACATTCTACCACGAACTTAGGGTTCAGGGCTTAAGGCTTAGGGTTTCCGAAGCCCCTAAACCCTAAACCCTAAACCCCAAACCCCAAACCCCAAACCCCAAGCCCGAAACCCTAAACCCTATACCCGGCCCAGGTCTTCTTGGACCTTGTGGATCGGCTGATGTCGCTGATCCGGACGTTGCGCGAGACTTTTGACAAGGAGCCACCCCGCTTGAAGCCGCAAGGCCCTCATAAACACTGCGTTCTTGTAGCAGAAAAGGCCCTAATCGCCTAACACCCTGAAGCCCTACAAATCTCCGAAGACTCCCAGAGGTGGACCTCTAGTGAACCCTAAGGCAAGTCCCCTTCAGTGGCTGGGGGTCCTGGACCCCAGTCGGTGCCCGAAACCCCCATCTGGGAGGTCCCAAATTAGCCCCAAAAGGCCCCAAATCGGGCCCCGGAGGCACCGGCTTCAAGTTGGGCCCCCAGATGAAGCTCCGGGAGGCCAAATGGAGGCCCCAAATGAACCCGGGAGGCCTCAAATGAGCCGGGACGCCCACCAAATTAGACCCCAAGAAGCCGAAAGCGCGCCCCGGGAAAACCCTAAACCCCAAACCCTAAGGCCTAATTTAAACCCTAAACCCCAAAACCCTAAACTGAGCGACTAAACCCTAAACCCTAAACCCTAAACCCCAAACCCCAAACCCCAAACCCCAAACCCCAAACCCCAAACCCTAAACCCTAAACCCTAAACCCTAAGCCCTAAACCCTAAACCCTAAACCCTAAACCCTAAACCCTAAACCCTAAACCCTAACCCTAAACCCGAAGCATAGGATGACCTTGCCGCCATCCTCGATGACCTCCTCCGCGCCGTCGTATCGCTTCGGGAGGCCCGCTGGGTCTAGGGCATGTGGAGAAATTTGCACGGGCTTAAGCCCTACACTCTAAACCCTAAACCCTAAACCCCAAACCCCAAGCCCTAAACCCTGGGGTTCACAGGCTTAGGCCTTAAACCCTATACCCCTAACTATGGTACCGTGCCCTCATCAGTCTTACCTCCTACTACACCCGTCTGTATATCAAATAGAGACGCACGGCCCTTCGGTTTAGCGTCCCACTAAATCTGGGGGCTTCTACGCAACTCGCCCGCTTAGGAAAGATCTTCCTGGCTCCCGTTTTGACCCTACCCACCATGTTGCTTCTCACCAGGGTACAAGGATAGAGTTATAGGCTTACTAGGGGAGTCAAGAGGCAGGTGTAGGTTTGATCATAAATTTCGTAGGTTAAACTCCTAGGTAGGATAAGGGGGACCCTGAGAAAAGGGAACCCTTCTGAACCCTCTTCTGGCTCTCTTTCTTAAGGAGGGACCTTGTTGAGAGGGTCTATATCCCCAAGGGTCCCCCTAATCCTATCCCCTATAAACCCCTCAGTCCATATAATAATCCTTATTGAGCCATAAACATTTCAGTGTTCATAGGGCCCCAAAGCCGAGCCCGAGAGAGGCCAACCCTGCCGGGCACTGCCTAAAACCCTGCAAACCCCAAACCCTAAACCCCAAACCCTAAACCCCAAACCCTAAACCCCAAACCCTAAACCCTAAACCCTTTCAATTGTCCCAGCGTCCTTTTTCTCGACCACCCTCCGCCCCCAGCTGCGAACTCCAGGATGGCAGAGGGGATCTAGGCTTAAAGCAACTGCTTAGGGTTTGGGGTTTAGGGTTTAGGGTTCAGGGTTTAGGGACCTCTGGTGCCTACTTTCGAACTTCTGTTGGGACCGCATGGCAGCCGTAAAAAGAATCCAACCTGCTTTGCCGCGAACACTCTAGACCTGAGCCCCGAACTCCCCCAACTCCTAAACCCGACAAACCCAACAAACCCTAAACCGTATCATGTTGATTTGGGGGCGTTCACCTGAATTGTGGGCCTGGCTAGGGTTTCGCCATGGTTCACGTTTCGTTTGTGGAGCGTTGATTTGGTTCATGGGTTTAAGAGGGCATCTTGTTTTGGACCCTGAACATTCCTGAACCCTATAAAGCCCTAAAACCCTAAAAACGTCAATCTTAAAGCCCCAAACCCTACCAGATTTGGCAACAATCCCCCCGTCCCGCCATCCCTCTTTTCAAGTGGAAGGACGTCAGCGTGTCTGATTCTGCCGAGGGACTGGAGGAGTGCGCCCGATGCCCCAGGACTGTGGGGGTTGAGTTAGGAGGTTTAGGGCAGAGTTCAGGGTTTTCGGGTTTTAGGGGTTTAAGGATTGAAATGGGGTTTATATAAGGGTTTACGGTTCAGGGCTTAGGGTTGAGGGGTTGAGGGTCTAGACGGTATATGGCAGATACTTTATGGTTGTAGCAACTTGCAGTGAGATCGACTGGCCGGAGTTCCGCGACGAAGCATGCCTGCCGTGTAAGCTGGCCTGACATGATGAAACTACATGTCACGACGGTCATATGAGCGGAGGCATTGATTCATTCATACTCAGCTCACGCTGACACAGGCCACTTGCGCTTGATGGTTGTAGCGTCTTGCAGTTTGATTGACTTGCTGGAGTTTCGTGTCGGACACATGTCTGCTGTGTAAGCTGGCCTGACATTATGAAACTACATTCACGACGGTCATATGAGCGGAGGCATTGATTAATACATATTCAGCTCAGGCTGACACATTCCACTTGTACTTGATGGTTGTAGCGTCTTGCAGTTTGATTGACTTGCTGGAGTTTCTTTTCGGAAGCATGCCTGCTGTGTAAGCTGGCCTGACATGATGAAACTACATTTCACGACGGTCATATGAGCGGAGGCATTGATTCATTCATACTCAGCTCACGCTGACACAGGCCACTTGCGCTTGATGGTTGTAGCGTCTTGCAGTTTGATTGACTTGCCGGAGTTTCGTGTCGGACACATGTCTGCTGTGTAAGCTGGCCTGACATGATGAAACTACATTCACGACGGTCATATGAGCGGAGGCAATGATTCATGCATACTCAGCTCACGCTGACACAGGCCACTTGTACTTGATGGTTGTAGCGTCTTGCAGTTTGATTGACTTGCCGGAGTTTCTTTTCGGAAGCATGCCTGCTGTGTAAGCTGGCCTGACATGATGAAACTACATTTCACGACGGTCATATGAGCGGAGGCACTGATTCATTCATACTCAGCTCACGCTGACACAGCCCACTTGTGCTTGATGGTTGTAGCAACTTGCAGTTTGATTGACTTGCCGGAGTTCCGTGTCGGAAGCATGCCTGCCGTGTAAGCTGGCCTGACATGATGAAACTACATGTCACGACGGTCATATGAGCGGAGGCATTGATTCATTCATACTCAGCTCACGCTGACACAGGCCACTTGCGCTTGATGGTTGTAGCGTCTTGCAGTTTGATTGACCTGCCGGAGTTTCGTGTCGGACACATGTCTGCTGTGTAAGCTGGCCTGACATGACACAGGCCACTTGTACTTGATGGTTGTAGCGTCTTGCAGTTTGATTGACTTGCCGGAGTTTCTTTTCGGAAGCATGCCTGCTGTGTAAGCTGGCCTTACATGATGAAACTACATGTCACGACGGTCATATGAGCGGAGGCAATGATTCATGCATACTCAGCTCACGCTGACACAGGCCACTTGTACTTGATGGTTGTAGCGTCTTGCAGTTTGATTGACTTGCCGGAGTTTCTTTTCGGAAGCATGCCTGCTGTGTAAGCTGGCCTGACATGCTGAAACGACATTTCACGACGGTCATATGAGCGGATTGACTTGCCGGAGTTCCGTGTCGGAAGCATGCCTGCCGTGTAAGCTGGCCTGACATGATGAAACTACATGTCACGACGGTCATATGAGCGGAGGCATTGATTCATTCATACTCAGCTCACGCTGACACAGGCCACTTGCGCTTGATGGTTTGAGCGGCTTGTGCGACGCTTTTCAAAAAGCCTGTCTGAGAATGTTCATCAGAATGATTAAATATGCAAGGTTGGCTTTTGGGATTTTTTGTGCTTTCCTTATGTGGGTTTATATGGGGTCATATATACAAAGATATTTCCCGTGGGTTCAACGGCCAACCCAGTGAAGGGCCAACCTACATCCAGATCAGGTCCAGCAGTGGCAGCAGTTTGGGCAGGCAAGTGGTGGCTTCTTCGTGCTTTGGACCCTGAACTCCAAACCCCCAAACCCCAAACCCCAACCCTAAACCCTAAACCCTAGAACCCTAAACCTTGGCCACAAACTCCTACCAGCTGAAGCTGGTCTTCGAATCTGAGCCCTAAACTCTAAACCCAAAACACCACACCTTAAGCGCTAAACCCGAAGCCCTACATGACTCGAGGCAACCCTAAACCCTAAACCCTAAACCCTAAACCCTAAACCCTAAATCCTAAACCCAAGTTGTTTCGGGCTACTTGTCTTAGAGACTCTGAGCTGCGCTGGGCTGGAACCCAAAACCTTCAACCCTGCAGAGACGGGGTTTAGGGTTTAGGGTTTAGGGTTTAGGGTTTAGGGTTTAGGGTTTAGGGTTTAGGGTTTAGGGTTTAGGGTTTAGGAGGGTATCTCATTTTGGTGTGGTACGTCTTTTAGGTTAGACAGCCGAGTTGATTCCGAAACACGGGGTTGCCGAAAGAAAGGAATTGCAGTCCGGGGGCGTCACAACCTTAAACCCTAAACCCCTAAAACCCGAAGCCCCAAAACCTAAACCCCAAACTTTAGCCTGAGTTCCAGTTGTTCAAGGAAGCCCTAAGCCCTAAGCCCTAAGCCCTAAGCCCTAAGCCCTAAGCCCTAAGCCCTAAGCCCTATAAGCCCTATAAGCCCTATAAGCCCTATAAGCCCTATAAGCCCTATAAGCCCTAAGCCCTAAGCCCTAAGCCCTAAGCCCTAAACCCTAAACCCTAAACCCTTACCCTAAACCCTAACCCTAAACCCTAAACCGCCTGCGCAGAGAAGGCTCTCAGTGCAGCAGACCGGCTAGATGCCGCTGTGGCTGTGGCTCCTGCCACGCTTTCCGCAAGGGCTTCCCTTCTTAGTTGGGTTTAGGGTTTAGGGTTTAGGGTTTAGGGTTTAGGCTTAGGGTTTAGGGTTTAGGGTTTAGGGGGAAGGGTGAACGGTGAAGGGTGAAGGGTGAAGGGTGAAGGGTGAAGGGTGAAGGGTGAAGGGTGAAGGGTGAAGGGTGAAGGGTGAAGGGTTCAGGGATAGGGTTTAGGCTCGACAGTCGAGGGTTTAGGGTTTTGGGTTTGGGTGTTGGGTTTTGGAGAGCCCTTAGCTCAAGAATTTCCCCCCAAACTCTCAGAGGATCCGATAGCACCTAAGTGGCCAGGCATATATGGGTGGTTGTCAAAATTATGGTCCCTTTTGGGGTCCTTAACACAATACGGCACGTCATATTTAGGGCACCCCAAAAGGGATAATAATTTTGACAACCAAACATATGTTGTTATGGTGTACTTGCATGTGTATTATATATATATATATACATTGACCCGGGAAACTGGGTCCCCTTTTCCGGGGGGGGGGGGCGAAGACGAAATTCGAAGACGAAATTCGGCCCAGCCGAAATTACGCCCTGAAGACGAAATTCGGCACTGAAGACGAAATTCGGCCCCTGAAGCCTAAATTCGGCCTGAAGCCTAAATTGGGCCCTTGAAGCCGAAATTCGGCCCCGAAGACGAAATTCGGCCCCGAAGACGAAATTCGGCCGCTGAAGACGAAATTCGGCCCTGAAGCCGAAATTCGGCTCCTGAAGACGAAATTCGGCCCGGAAGCCTAAATTCAGCCCTGAAGACGAAATTCGGCCCTGAAGCCGAAATTCGGCTCCTGAAGACGAAATTCGGTCCCGAAGACGAAATTCGGCCTGAAGCTTGAATTCGGTTTCGGTCCCCCTTAGGCCTGCATAAAATGGCCCTGAATTTCGTTTTCGGGGCCGAATTTCGTCTTCAGGAGCCAAATTGCGGCTTCAGGGCCGAATGTCGTCTTCAGGGCTGAATTGAGGCTTCCGGGCCGAATTTCGTCTTCAGGAGCCGAATTTCGGCTTCAGGGCCGAATTTCGTCTTCAGTGGCCGAATTCGTCTTCGGGGCCGAATTTCGTCTTCGGGGCCGAATTTCGGCTTCAAGGGCCCAATTTAGGCTTCAGGGCCAAATTTAGGCTTCAGGGGCCGAATTTCGTCTTCAGTGCCGAATTTCGTCTTCAGGGCCTAATTTCGGCTGGGCCGAATTGCGTCTTCAGATTTCGTCTTCGAATTTCGTCTTCGCCCCCCCCGGAAAAGGGACCCAGTTTCCCGGGTCTCTGTATATATATATATATATATCTCTACATATATGTCATATGATTTGATATAGAGGTATAGATATAGGTATGTATGTTTGCATTCCTTAAATCATATCGGGAGCTCAACGTGTACTTATGTTCCCCAATTCAGGGCCACCCCAAACCCCAAACCCCAAACCCCAAGCCCAGACCCCAAACCCCAAACCCCAAACCCCAAACCCTAAACCCTAAACCCTAACGGCAGCTCTGCCAGGCAGCGCCCTCCCTCCGCAAGAACGCCAGCCTGCGTCAGCAGTTCGACCTCCTCCGGGGTTCGGGGACCCAATGTTGGGGTTTAGGGTTTAGGGTTTAGGGTTTAGGGTTTAGGGTTTAGGGATAGGTTCCCGCATCCGCCCCATGGAGCAACAAGGGGGGTCGGCCCTTTGTATCCCTACAGTGAGAACCCAATTACGCGAAGGTTTTGTGGCTTGGGGGCTTAGGGTTTGTAAGGGGTTTGGGTCCTGGGTTCAGGGGCTATGGTAGGTTAGGTGCCTCTGGGTTTTTGGAGTTACGGCGAGTTTTTGTGTTCTCTTGGTCCGAGTTTCGACGGCTGCGGCGTGTCCCGGAAGGACCCATAACGTATTCCAAATAGATTGTTTAGAATTTAGTGTTTGGGCGACTGATCTGTTGATACGGCTTTTCGAGTTTAACAGGAGCCTCAGCTTGCTTAGGATTCTGACTTGAGTTCAGGGGTTCCCTAGGGCGTTTATGTCACTTTGTTTGGGCGACCCCCTCGAAAGCCTGACGCTCCAAAACCCCAAAGCCCTAAACCCTTGAAACCCTTGAAGCCCCAAACCCTAAACCCTAGACTCTACATTCCCTAAACCCCTAACCTACCCTAAACCCTAAATTCCCTAAGCCCTGAGAACCTTAAAGGAAAGCCGAAGACACTTGCAGAGGTTTGCACGTCTTCCTAAAGCGGCACGACCTCCGAGCCCACCTCCTCAACCAGGCGCCATGAGTGCTCCGATCTAGGGTTTAGGGTTTAGGGTTTAGGGTTTAGGGTTTAGGGCTAGGGTTTAGGGCTTAGGGTTTAGGGCTTAGGGGTTAGGGTTTTGGGGTCTTAGGCTGGGGTTCAGGTATGGATTTCCTTTGGCGGGGGCCTTGAGGTGGAGGGCTTGGGGCTCGTTCCCTAGACCCTAAACCCTAAACCCTAAACCCTAAACCCTATAGACCCTAAACCCTATAGACCCTAAACCTCAGAAGGGGCCACCCGCCCTGGCGCCCAAGGAGACCAGTGAGACTGGCCTGGGGTCGGCGGTGGACCAGGCAGGTGGGTTTTTGCGAGCCCCTGGGCTGCGGACCGGAAACCCCAAACCCTGACCCCCTCCAAAAAAAACTGCAGAGGGGCGTCTCAAACGGGTTCAGGGGCCTCTTGGTCCTCCCCCGGCGTCGATCGGGTGCTCCAGAAATGCAGCCCCTTAGCTCCCCTAAGGGTAAACCCTAAACCCTAAACCCTAAACCCTAAACCCTAAACCCTAAACCCTAAACCCTAAACCCTAAACCCTAAACCCTGTGCACATCCAGAGCACTTGGGCCCGAAGACCAGCCCCAATCTGGAGCTACTTCAGCTCCACGTCGGACCGCAAGGCACCAGGAAGCCCCAAAAGCCCTAGAAGCTGTTTATGACATCCCTATGAGCCTTACAACCCAGAAGCACAGTCTCACATCGCAGCGTTGTGAAATTAGCTGCCCTAAACAATAGACTGATTTAGTCAACTTAGCCCCCTAATCCCGCAACCCTAAACCCTAAACCCTAAACCCTAAACCCTAAGCCCTAAACCCTAAACCCTAAACCCTAAACCCTAGCCCTAAACCCTAAACCCTAAGCCCCATTCAGGCGTCTTTAGGCATGGTGGTGGGTGGAAAACGCGAACCTCGAGATGCGTGGAAGCTTGCACTCGCCAGGAGCCGGGCGAGTCGCGCGAGGTTCGTGGGCCAGATTGGGCCGATTTAGGGCTAGGGTTTAGGGTTTAGGGTTTAGTGTTCTTTTGAGGGTTCATAGGGTTATAATATAGGGTTTAGGGTTCAGGGTTTAGGGTTTTATGAGCTGGGGTTGAGGGACCTCCAGCTCTGTTTTCAAATTGATGGAGTTTAGGGTTTAGGGTGTAAGGGTGTAAGGGTGGGGTTTTCCATTGTTCAGGGTTTCAGGGGTGTGCAGTTTGAGCCTGCGCGGGTTTAGGGCTGCGGGGTCTTCATGGCGAACCAAGAGGGCGGCCAGTCTTAAAACCCTGAAGACCCTTTGAACCCTTTGAACCCTTGAACTCTTAAAACCGCTCTAAAGCCCTTGAAACCCTTCAACTCTTAAAACCCTTGACTAACCCCTAAACCCTAATTTTATAAACTCTACACCCTAAGCCGCTGCAACTCTTGAAACCCTTAAAGACCCCTACGCCCCTACAGCAGGTTTGCCCTAAACCCTAAACCCTAAACCCTAAACCCTAAGCCCTAAGCCCTAACCCTAAACCCTAAACCCTAAACCCCCCACAGCAGGTTTGCCACCCTCCGTCTCCCTCTCCAGTGTCCTCCTCGAGCTCGCCGTTGGGGGCCCTCAGTGTGTGAGGGGCTGGAGTTTAGGGTTTAGGGTTTAGGGTTTAGGGTTAGGGTGCAGGGTTCTGGGTTTAGGGTTTGCGGCGTCTTCGACACTTGGAGACCCCCAGAAGCCCTAAGCCCTTTAAACCCTACAAACCCTAAACCCGATAAACCCCTAAACCCTACTGTCCTTACGAAAGCCCTAACTCTATAAACCCTAAACCCTAAAACAACAAGCCCTATAAGCCCCTTAAACCCTACAAACCTCCATAAGCCCTAACAAACCCATAGGGTCTCCCCCCCCCCTTCCCCTCCCTCCCTAAGTACAGGGTTTCTAGGGTTTTTGGTGTGGGTTTAGGGTTTATAGGGTTTATAGGGTTTATAGGGTTTATAGGGTTTATAGGGTTTATAGGGTTTACAGGGTTTATAGGGTTTATAGGGTTTATAGGGTTTATAGCAGACAGTATTATAGGGTTTATAGAGTTTATAGGGTTTTTGGTGTAGGATTTATGGGTTTACAGGGTTTTATAGGGTTTAGGGTTTGTAGGGTCAAGTAGCCGGGGCTTGCGGGAGAGCACCCGAAACCACCCCCCCCCCCCCCCCCCCGAAACCCTAAAACCCAAACCCTAAACCCCAAACTCTAAACCCCAAACCCCAAATCCTAAAACCCTAAACCCTAAACCCCTAAACCCTTAAACTCCTAAACTCCTAAACCCTAAACCCTAAACCCCTCAACCTTGAAACAGGGCAAAGCCTCTCCAGCCAATCACACCGACCGCCAAGCTGCACGCGAGGCGCGGAGGCTACGCGCGGCGGCCGCGATTTAAGGCCCCGTCCTTCGCTTTGAGAGCTTGGGAAGTGCACCGGTGCTTCCCTAAACCCTAAACCCTAAACCCTAAACCCTAAACCCTAAGGGTTTAATCCCTAAATACCTCCATGCAGATCTTCACTGCCGGATGGGGCCGAAAGCTTTCCAAAATGCCTTGGTGCAGAGCAGGCCGAAGACACAGACACCGCCTGCAACTCAGTGTTTTGGGTTTCGGGAGGTTTAGGGTTTTAGGGGGTTTACGGGGTTCAGGGATTAGGGTTTAGGTGTCAGTTTGGGGTTTAGGGTTTAGCGTTTTGGCTTTCGGGGCGTCAGTGTTCGCTAGCTTCGGCCGCTGTCAGCACCTGCCTGGGTGTGATCGTGTTGTATTTGTGTTGTTTTGCCTGCGAGCCCTTAAACCCTAAACCCTAAACCCTAAACCCTAAACCCTAAACCCTAAACCCTAAACCCTAAACCCTAAGGCGACACGTGGCATTTTGCTTCAGCGGGTACTAAAGGGAGCCAACTATGTTCACCTGATTCTCGTACAGGTAGGCCCTGAACCCTAAACCCCAGTTGTGACTAGCTAGGGTTTAGGGTTTAGGGTTCAGGGTTTAGGGTTTAGGGTTTAGGGTTTAGGGTTTAGGGTTTAGGGTTTAGGGTTTAGGGTTTAGGGTTCGGGGTTCAGGGTTCAGGGTTCAGGGTTCAGGGTTTAGGGTTTAGGGTTTAGGGCTAGCTGCACACATGATCAGAGAGGTCATGCCGCTGCCTGAAATTGAAACCGGCGGAAACCTGAGCGCTTTCAGCGCTTAACCCACAAGTTTCCCTCACTCCTGTGAGTCATAACCTAAATCCTCAACCCCAAGGCCCAAAACCCTAAACCCCCAAACCCTAAACTCCAAGCCCTAAACCCCAAACCATAAACTCTAAACCCCAAACCCCGAACCCTAAACCCCAACCCCTAAACCCCAAAACCCTGACCCCAAGCCCTAAACCCCAACTAGTTTCTCCAAAGCCCTCTCCATCAGGGCGGATACTCTAAAGCCTAAACCCTAAACCCTAAACCCTAAACCCTAAACCCCCAAATCCCATCAGGGCGGATACTCCGGCTACTCCTCCTCCCCCAGCGCGGCGCCGGTCGCTCCCGGCTTCGAAGCAGCCGCGGCCGGGGGGCCCTGGAGGAGTTTTAGGGTTTAGGGTTTAGGGCTGAGGGTTCAGGGCTTTGGGGTGAGGGGTGAGGGAGGGTTTAGGCTTCTCGGGTGTAGGGTGGTTCAGGTTGATGAAAGTTTCGAGGAGTCAAAGCGCCCAAACTCTAAACCCTTTCACTCCCTTTCACGCAATGGTCCGGCCTCTGCGAAGAGCAGCAAACCCTAAACCCGAAACCCTAAGCCCTCAGCCCTAAACCCTAAACCCTAAACCCTAAACCCTCAACCCTGAACCCTGAACCCTGAACCCTGAACCCTGAACCCTAAACAAGTTTAGCGACTCGCCTTTCCCCAAAAGGAGACGAAGAGGGCATTGGGAGCCCTTAACCCTCCCCTCACCCCCCCCAAAGTTTAGGGTGTAGGGTTTAGGCTTTAGGGGGTTTAGGGTTCAGGCCCCCCCCCCCCCCACCCCTCCCACCCCTCCCCCCCCTCCCCCCAAATAACAGTACATGAACAACAATAACAGAGAAAAACGAGAATTAGGTCTTTATGCTGTTAGCTCTACGCTTTACTATGTTTCTATAATCGTTTGGGTTTAGAACAAGTCAAGTCAGGGTATGCTAGGGCCCAGACCCTAAACCCTAAACCCTAAAACCTAAACCCCAAACCCCAAACCCCAAAAAGCCTAAATCCCGTCCCAAACCCTAGCAACCCGAAGCCTAAAAACCCAAAGCCTACAGAAACCCTAAAGCCCTAAACATCCCAAACTCTAAAGAACCCTAAACCCTCAACCCTCAACCCTCAACCCTCAACCCTCAACCCTCAACCCTCAACCCTCAACCCTCAACCCTCAACCCTCAACCCTCAACCCTCAACCCTAAACCCTAAACCCTAAACCCTAAACCCTAAACCCTAAACCCTAAACCCTAACCCTAAACCCGAAGGGTTTCAGAGGCCACCAAAAGTGCCGCGCAGGTGGCGATGAGCCCAGTCGTTCCACCGCTGCCACGGGAGGCCCCACAGATATTTGGGAAGGTTTAGGGTTTAGGGTTATAGGGATAAGGGATCAGGGCCGATTTGGGGTTTAGGGTTTAGGGCTAGCGTTTAGGATTGAGGGTTTAAGGATTAGTGTTTAGGGTTGGCAGTTGCTCAGGATGCTTGGCTTGGGGTGGCCTGATGTGAGAGGGCCCATGACAGACCCGATGAGAGTTGGGGGTGGGCCTGATGCTTGGGACGGGCCTGATGCGAGCAGGCCCATGGCTGATGCTCCTGAGAGGGCCCGCGGCTGATGCTCCTGATGCTTGGCTCTGGGCGGGCCTGATGTGAAAGGGCCGGCGGCTGATGCTCATGATGCTTGGCCTGGCGCGTGCCCAATGTGAGAGGGCCAGCAGCTGATGCTCATGATGCTTGGCCTGGGGGGCGGGCCTGATGTGAGAGGGCCCGCGGCTGATGCTCATGATGCTTGGCTCCAGGCGGGCCTGATGTGAGAGGGCCTGCGGCTGATGCTCATGATGCTTGGCCTGGCGTGGCCCAATGTGAGAGGGCCAGCAGCTGATGCTCTTGATGCTTGGCCTGGGGGGCGGGCCTGATGTGAGAGGGCCCGCGGCTGATGCTCATGATGCTTGGCTCCGGGCGGGCCTGATGTGAGAGGGCCTGCGGCTGATGCTCATGATGCTTGGCCTGGCGTGGCCCAATGTGAGAGGGCCAGCGGCTGATGCTCTTGATGCTTGGCCTGGGGGGCGGGCCTGATGTGAGAGGGCTCCGGGCGGGCCTGATGTGAGAGGGCCTGCGGCTGATGCTCATGATGCTTGGCCTGGCACGGGCCTAATGTGAGAGGGCCAGCGGCTGATGCTCTTGATGCTTGGCCTGGGGGGCGGGCCTGATGTGAGAGGGCCCGCGGCTGATGCTCATGATGCTCGGTTTTGGGGCACATTAGGGAACAACAGGAAAAGGGCCTCCCCTCTTCCTGAAGAGGTGCCTCTGCTAATGGCCTAGAATGGTTTAGGGTTTAGGGGTTTGGGGGGGGCTTGGGGCCTACACTCCTTCCACGAACTTCCACCCTGGGTTCGGGGTTTTCGGGTGATTTGACCCCAAGCTGGTTTCATTATTCCTGTTATTGCTAATTATTCCCTTTGCTCCCTGCTACCCGAGAGAACCTGAACCCTCAACGCTGAATGCTAAAACCCCAATGCCCTAAAGCCCCTAACAATCCAAGCCAAAAGAAACTAACTCTGCACCACTTCTGCACCTAAGGCCCTGCAGCACTGCATAGCACTGCCCTAAAACCAAAAAAAACCCTTCAAACCCGAAGCCCTAAAACTCTGATGCCCGAAAGCCCTTAAACCCCAACACCTTAAACACCCTGAGCCCCAAAACTTTCAAACCCTAAACACCCTTAAACACCCTAACGCTTCTGAAGCACTGAAACCGAAACGCCCTAGAACACCTTAAAGTCCCGAAGCCTCAAAACCCCCTCACACCCTAAAACCCATCTATAAAGACACACCGAAACCCCTAAAACCTTGAAACGCTAAACGCCCCTTTACGCCTTTCCCCCAAAACACCCTTAAGCCCAAACCTTAAACACCCTTAAACCCCGAAAACCCCAGAACAGCCCTAAACACCCTAAACCCCAGAACACTAGGGGAACTGATTGAGCTTCTTGTGAAACCCCAGAAGTTCAAACATCCTGAACCCCTGAACCTCACCCTAAACCCTAAAATTTAAGTGCCTCCGGGAGAACAGGGTGTAGAGTCCCAGGCAGTTAAACTGGTGAAGAGGTTTTGGAGGTTTAGAGGCCTGTGAAGGGGGGGGTTTCCAGAAAGTGTTCAGCAGGGTCCCACGGGAGTCTCAGGAGGGATCCTAGGGAGGTCCCAGGAGGTCCCACGGCGTTTTGGGGTCGGTGGCCCTAAGCCCTAAACCGTAAACCCTAAACCCTAAACGCTAAACCCTAAACCCTAAACCCCAAACCCTAAACCCTACACCCTAAACTCGAACCAAGCGACAGGCTCTGGAGTCCAGTCGCCAGAGCCGCAGTGGCTCCTTCGCCCGGGCGCGGCCCGGCAGTGGGCCGGGAGCTCATGGCGGGAGGGTTGGGGTTTATAGGGTTTAGGGTTTCGGGTTTCGTGTTTAGGCTTTAGGGTTTGGGGTTTGGGGTTTGGGGTTCAGGGGATGGATTCAGGAATTTTAGGGTTGGAGGGTTTTAGGGGTACCCAAAGCCCTAATTATATGGAGCCTTGTAGAAAAGCCACAGGCCCCCAGCCGGTAAAGTTTGCTTCGCAACTTAAGATTTGAAATTTAGCTTTTGGCCCTAAACCCTAAACCCCAAACCCTTCAAGGTGCAACCTTGCCGGTCTCAGGTAGCCCTTAACCCGAAAACCTCCAAAACCCCCCCTGCACCTTATAGCTAGCCCTAAACCCTAGCTAGCCCTAAACCCTAAACCCCCCAAAACCCCGCTGGACCTAAGCTAGCCCTAAACCCTAAACCCCCCAAACCCCCAAGCCCCATAAGACTCAGGCGGCCCACTACGCCTTCGTGGCTAAAGCCGCCGTGGCAGCGGAGCGATGTTCCAAGTTCCGCCGGGAGCCTCGGAAGACCCGAAACCCTAAACCCTAAACCCTAAACCCTAGACCCTAGACCCTAAACCCTAAACCCTAAACCCTATCATCTGCGGCTTTTGAAAAGGTGCTTGTTGGGTTGAGCTGTCGGTGGCTTGGATCTCCCGGTTCAGTGTCTTCTTACGGGCTGTGAGTGCACAGTCCAATCACCCCCGTACCCGGCACGCCCCTTTCCAAAACCTTCCGCCAAGTGCATCTCGGAATGTCGGGTTAGGGGTTTAGGGTTTAGGGTCCTGGGTTTACAGGGTTTACAGGGTTTACAGGCTCTACAGCGTTTACAGGGTTACAGGGTTAGGGTGGTCGGATTTGTGGATATCTTCTGCGCTGTGGGGGCAATTGACCTTGAAGCGATATCTCAGCCTTCAATCGCGCACGGCGTACGAACCCAGAACCTTCAACACTCCCAGGCCACTTGGAACCGGCCGGATACGCCCTCGACTGTGTGCGATGACACCGAGGTGTGCTGGAGGGCCGCCAATCAAAGGGCTTAGGGCTGGGAGGGGTTTATGTTTTGAGTTCCTCTACTGTGGCAGGACTCGAGTTTCGGGGTTTCGTTGGGCTTAATTACGACCGTTCCCTGCTTACGGGTCCAGTATCTAAAAATGGTGTAATACTCAAATCGTAGACTATTCGAATTGTAGTGACATGTAGTGACCTCAGAAACCTTCAAGCCGACCTTTTCCCCAGCCCCATCTTGAATCAGGTTGCCAGTCTCCCTCGGTGGAAGGTCGTCGATGGCCAGTACGTGCCGCTGAAGACACGCGGCAATGAATGGCCCTCGGGTTTGAGTGCCGGGGTTGCGTCTCCCCTAAACCCTAAACCCTAAACCCTAAACCCTAAACCCTAAACCCTAAACCCTAAACCCTAAACCCTAAACCCTAAACCCCTACCTCTGACCTCTGCGATGTCCGAGGGCCCGAGCGACAAAACGAGAAGGAATCTGGCTGGCCCTAGGGTTTTTTTCGGGCTTTTCAGGGACTTTTGCTCAGTTTATCAGGCCAACACTGAGGTAGGTGACTGTCTGAGGGGCAGCAGGCACGCATCCCACGAGCTGAGAGGGGCAGAACAAGGTACCCTAAACCCTAAACCCTAAACCCTAAACCCTAAACCCTAAACCCTAAACCCTAAACCCTAAACCCTAAACCCTATTTATAAACCCTTACTAAACCCTAAACCCTAAAACCCTAAAACCCGAAACCCTATAGGGCTTGTAGGAGCCTTAGGACATCCAGCTCCGGCCGCTTCCTGCCGCCCCTGCAGCTGGCTGAGAAGGACTCGCGGCCATAAGAAACCCTAAACCTTAGACCCTCAACGGGTTTTAGGGTTTAGGGTTTAGTTTAGGGTTTAGGGTTTAGGGTTTAGGGTTTAGGGTTTAGGGTTTAGGGTTTAGGGTTTAGGGTTTAGGGTTTAGGGTTTAGGGTTTAGGGTTTAGGGTTTAGGGTTTAGGGTTTAGGGTTTAGGGCCCCTCCAGCTCCCTTTAGTGAAGCAAGCTATAATGATCCTGAACGTTTCCTGATTTTCCTTGTCGGGGTGCATTTTGCAGATTATCGGGGCTTTCTGGTACAGTGTTTCATACACTCTTTGTGTGTTCGCTAGCCGACGCATACAAGCCAAGTTGCGCATTCCGAAGATACCAACATTCCTTACTCTGTATGTTACTGTTTCTCTAAACACGAAACCTAAACCCTACACCCTAAACCCTAAACCCTATACCCTAAACCCCAAACCCTAAACCCTAAACCCCAAACCCTAAACCCTAAACCCAAAACCCTAAACCCTACGCACCTCCCTAGAAATGTGGTGCTCGCATCTGTCAGGACCGCGCCTCGAAGCCGGTCCTTTAGAGCGCCGCACTGGCCATTCTTGCCCGAGGAAGGCCTCGCACTTTGTTTGCTATACATATCTGTATATATCTACATATATATATATATGTGTATGTATATGTATGTATACTGCCATTTTAGGGTTTAGGGCTTAGGGATTTAGGGTTTAGGTTGTATTATTCTTTTTTTTTTTTGGGGGGGGGGGGGGGGGGGGGGGTGGGTGGGGGGGGGGGGGGGGGGGGTGGGATTGGGGGTTTGGGGGGTTTGGGGTTTAGGGTTTAGGGGTTTCGGAGTCTCGGGCTTGGGGAGTTAGGGGGTTTAGGGTGTATGGTTTAGGAGTCTAGGAGTTAGGTTTTATGGGTTTAGGTGTGTCGGGTGTAGGGGTTGAGGGCTCGAGGAGTCCAGGGCTTAGGGTTTGGGTTTTAGGGTCTAAGGGTTTTGAGGGTTTTGAGGATTCTGAGTGTTCAAGGGTTTAGGGTTTAGTGTTAGGGGCTTGAGGCGTTCAGGGCTGCAGGGTTTTCAGTTTAGGGTTTCAGGGTGTAGGGTTTGGGGTTGTGGGGTCTTGGGTTTAGGGTTTGGGGGTCTAGCCTTTAGGCATTCCAGGAATGAGGGTTTTGGGGTTGGGGGTTTTGGGCTTTAATTTCGCGTTTTGGGGGTTTGGGGTTTTGGGGGTCAAAGTTTAAGGTTTCGGGGTTCTAGGGCTTCAAGGTTTAGGATTTGCGGGTTCAAGATTCAGGGCATGAGGGGTTCAAAGTTGAGGGGTCTCTTGCGATGAAGGCTGAGGGCGGGCCGGGGGGCTTTTCAGTCGTGCTGCTGTGAGCTTAAGGTTTTGTTCCATGTCTTGTCATTGTGCCTCCCCTAAGAACCCTATAAACTATAAACCCTAAACTCTAAACCCTAAACCCTAAACAAGCCCTACAAGGTCTGTGCTTCTGGTTCAGGGTTCCAGAGTTTTAGAGTCTCAGTCTTCAGGGCAGATTCGGTCTTTCCCGAAGCCACTGACAGAGCTTGGCATCTGGCTCTTTAGGGTTTAGGGTTTAGGGTTTAGGGTTTAGGGTTTAGGGTTTAGGGTTTAGGGTTTAGGGTGGGTTTGGGGGGTGTGCTGGGTGGGGTCTTGGGGCATTTTATATTTTGCCTTATTGGGTTAAAGAGGATCATATTTCGGAATGTGTTCAAAGGGCTTTAAGGGCTATCCTTGTATATTGTTATAGTAATAGTACTATACATGATTCCCCATGACAAACCTCTATGCTTCTAGTTTCATACTAGTATAGTATTCCATAATGCTGGGCTTCCTGCTCCTCTGGGACCTTACAAGCGCTGAACACCAAGCTGTAAGCCCGCGCCGATCTCACCCAAGCCCCAAATCAACAATTTTGTCCGCAGCCCCTGGCTTTGTAAACCCTAAACCCTAAACCCTAAACCCCCAACCCCCTAAATCCTAAATCCAAAACCCTAAACCCTAAACCATAACACTAACCCTCAACCCAAACCCTAAACCCTTCTGGGTTTGCGGAGTCAACCTTGAGAGGCTCGCCTGCCTTTCTGTGAGAGCCAGTGGGGCCTTGCACGGTCTGCGCACGAGCTGTCAGGAGCCCCCTCAAAACCCTACGCCCAGTGATATTGGCGCAAGACTTCTAAACCCACAACCCTAACACCCGAAACCACTAAACCCCGAAACCCTAGACCCCTAACACCCTGAACCGTAAACCCATTGGCAGTAATCCCTTCAACCCTCAGATCCCAAACTCGAGCTTTGGCGGCATTGCACCCTTGACCCCGAGCCTGCCATTGCCTCCTAGTCAGGTGACTGCAGAGTCCCAAACCTAAACCGCTTTCGTTGATTTAGGGTTTAGGTGGTTTAGGGGGGGTTTTGGGCGGTTTTGGGCGGTTAAGGGGAGGTTGGGTTTAGGGGGAAGGGGGGGGGATTGGGGGGTTTAGAGCTTATCATGAGTCATGGTATGTTTGAGGGGGGGAGGGGGGGGATTGGGCCATCCTGTTGCTTGTACCTGCTCTTGTTGTTGCTGTTTATAGGGTTCTAAGGGAGGGGTTAAAGGGGGGGTATCTAACCCCAGGGCCCCCACTACTCCCCACTACTCCCTAAGTTTCCCAAAGGTTCCCTAGCAGTCGCTTAAGGACCCTATAAGCTTCGGCCTTTGGGGCCGTTTCGCGCATGAAGACTTTTTCTTTATGATAGACCAACGCGAAGGATGCTTTAGGGTGAGCCCTAAACCCTAAACCCTAACAGGTCTTCCTCCTTTTCGGGTGTGCTGGGTCTCGTGACCCAGCGTCCCCGGACAGAACGACATCCGAGACATACGTGAAAACTTGTGCCTTCAAGCACAGTGAGTCCATCACCTTATTTTCTTGTGTGGAGGGTTTAGGGTTTAGGGTTTCGGGTTTCGGGTTTGGCTTTTTGGGGTTTAGAGGCAAGGCATCCCAAACTCTAAACCCTGAACCCTAAACCCTAAACCCTAAACCCTGAACCCTAAACCCTAAACCCTAAACCCTGAACCCTAAGTTTTGGGTTTGGGGTTTAGGGCTCTCGGACCCCTCCTGGCGCGGCTCGTCTCACATGACAATGCCCAGAATGCAAAAGTGACGACTCCCTGCTCAAAGCAGGTGGAGTGAATTGTGATCGACACGGATCCCGTACGCTCTCCCCTTGCCAAGGTTTAGGGTTTAGGGTTTCGGGCTTAGGGTTTAGGGTTTAGGGTTTAGGGTTTAGGGGAAGTGTTGGCAAGAGAGCAGGGTAGAGCATATGGGAGGGCAGTTTATAGGTGTAGTGATTTTCCAGGCTACCGTGCCTGCCTGGGCTGTACAGGACTCAGCCAGTGCCGACCAAGTTACCAGTACACCCTAAACCCTAAACCCTAAACCCTAAACCCTAAACCCTAAACCCATTGCAGAGTTCCTTGAACTGGCTGAACTCCCGCCTTTGAGAGGCATAGTTGTGGCCTGAAAGGCTTGCGTCTCACCACCGTGGCTGCTATCAGAACCCTCGGGGAGGGCTTAGGTCTTAGGGCTTGGGGTTTTAGGGTTTTATGGTTTCAGGCTTTTCGGGCTTAGGGCTTGTAAGGCTTCGGGCTTCAGGCTTAAGGCTCAGGGATTAGGGCTGAGGGCTCAGGGCTTAGAGCTTGTGAATTTTGAAATTTTAGGGGTTGCGGAGCTTATGGTTTTAAGTTTATTATTTGAAGGTTCAAGGTTTATAAGGGTATTTTGGGGAAACTGTAGTTCTCTGCATGGTCCCTGTTTCGCTTCCGCGCAGAGTAAGCTACACTTAAAAGTTGCACACGTGCCTCCATTGTTGGACCCTAAACCCTATAAGCCCTATAAACCCTTAGAGCTATAACCCTACCTAAACCCTAAACTCTAAACCCAACCAGCCTAAATCGTGAACCCTAAAAAGGGGCTTCCACCCAAGGCGCCAGGGTGGATGGGTTGAAACCTTGGCCCCTTCTGAGCCGAACCCTATATCCAAGTCCCAGAGATTCCCATGTTGAAGGGGGTTGAAAGGTTTGCGGTTTAGGGTTTCGGGTTTCGGGTTTAGTGTTTAGGGTTTAGGGTTTAAGGTTTAAGGTTACGGTCTGGTCTAGCACGTGATAGCTGCAGGTGCCAGCTGAATGTTGCGCGGCGTACCTGCAAATCAAGAAAAGAGCCTTCAGATCCTGAGCTCTCATATGGCTCCCTCTACTTGGAGGTTCACGGGCACTTAGAACCCTAGCTATAAGTCTACCTATGACCTACTTAGAGGACTTGTAGGGAGCTTAGAAGTACAGTTTACAATTGGGCTTCTGAGTAGGATGTGTCCCTCAACTGTAAGGTACCCGCTCTTCGCAGTGATGTACTTATAGGCTCTCGAAATGACACGTGATGAGGGCAGCCCAGCCGTGCTTCAGAGCTGCTGCACTAAATTCCATGGCTTGTAGCTCTTGGTACATAAGCTCTGTCTGCGAGATGCTCAATGTTAAGCTCAACCCGGCAAGCCCTAAACCCTAAACCCGAAACCCTAAACCCTAAACCCTAAACCCTAAACCCTAACACTTCTCGATCCTGGCACATCGAAGCCACGAGCTGGAGGGTCTTGAGGCTTAGCGGTGTCGCTTTATGAGGCTCCGATGGGCTTACGCACCCCTCCCTCCTCCCCCCTCCTCTCCGCCGAACCTTAATCTTCAAGCCCAAGATTGCGAACTTATAAACCCTAAACCCTAAACCCTAATCCCTAATCCCTAAACCCTAAACCCTAAACCCTAAACCCCCACATGCCCAAGTCCATAGGAGGCCCGAAGCAGGTGGGCACTTGGGATTCCTGAGCCCCCTGGGATTGTTGTTCGATGTTCCCTTATATTAGGGCCTGGGTCTCTTCTCTGATATAGTCGGATCTTATCTAGGAATAGTTTTCAGACGGTTTAACAGGCCAACCTAAAGAATCACAGGCCTTACACCTAAAAGCCCTAAACCCTCAATCCCGCAAATCTGTACTTGTCCCCGACATAAGCCCCTGACCCTAACCCCGTGACACTCCTAAGCCCCCTAAACTCCTAAACCCCCGAAACCCTCAACCTACTCCCTCTGAAGCCGTGTACTCTAAACCCTAAACCCTGAACCCTCGGCCCTTAGCCCCTAAACCCTGAACCCTCGGCCCTTAGCCCCCAAACCCTGAACCCTCGGCTCCCGGACCGCACGCAGGTGAACCTCTTCCAGTCGCAGATCAAGGATGTGACCCGGAAGATGATGGTGGTGCCGGCATGGCTTGGGGTTTAGGGTTTAGGGTTTAGGGTTTAGGGTTTAGGGTTTAGGGGTTTAGGGTTTAGGGTTTAGGGTTTAGGTGTTTAGGCTTAAGGGATGCAACCAGGCAGGGGGTTCAGGGCTCTCGGGCATTGGAGCTGCTCAGGGTTTGACAGGGTTTAGGCGCCCTGTGGCTTATGAGCTTAACACCCGCAATCCCGAAGCTTTTTACAGCACAAAGCCCATCCAAACCCAAAGGCCGCAAGCCTTAGCCTTGAACCCTAAACCTCTAA